GTGCACGCGAGCGTTTTGGAGACACGGCCAGGGTGGAGAAGGGGTGTGTTTTTGACTGTATTGATGTTTTCTGGGTATTGGACACAGAAGTGCTTGGAAGAAAAAGTGGATGTTCACATACCCCCATATCAGCGTTGGCACAGCTGCGTTCTGCAAAGATAGATGGATGCCAGAGACTTCCGGTTTTTTGAAGCATTTTGGGAGTGATTCATGGATTCAGGCGGCGGATCCGAGCTTCTTGGTCTTCAGAATATCTGAGTCTACCCATATTTGGGGGGGTCCTATCATTATGGGATTATGATATAGGCTTCTGAGGTGGACGACGTTGATTCTCGTGAGGTGGATCTTTTGTGGGCTTGACCCCCTGAGCCCTACGGAGAGTGATGAATAGAACACAATAACACCCCCCAAATGAAGAGGCTTTACAGTCCAAATCAGTGGTTTTGTTAAACAAGAGTCTTCACTACATGGTCAAGACACTAGGACCACTAGGATCTACTTCCAACCCTCCGATCTCGATCTCAGTGGGGATCATCAGTTCACCATCAGCAGGATCACTTGCTGTGTCGCAACCAAGCCGGACGCGCAAGAGAAGGTGGTTCTTTTGGTCAAGTGGGCATTGAAATATACAGTGGCTTCAGAGTAGATGGCGCAACCCCCACATGTCTTTTACATGGGGATCCATATAAACCACCTGTAAAAACCACTGTTGATGGAACCCAGTCCCAGAAGCGTCCCGAAGCAGGATTTGCCCTTCCTTTCTGAAGCCAGGAAGCAGCCCTTCATTGATCAAGAGCAGGAGTTAAATCCATTGTTTTCTCTTTTTCAAAGGCTGTATATGGAATTATATGCTATTAAATGCATATACTGTACCAGCGGCCCTCGAAACCATGAAAAACAACAGGTGTTCACATACAAAACAATAACACATTACATGTGTTCTTGCTATAGGTGAAAAAACAAAAAACAAACAAAAACACATCGGTCTGTGGTGGGGCCCCTGGATATATTTAGCATAGTCCTACACCAGTGGCATGACATCCAGGCCTCCGAGTGCACCGGGGAGCAGTCCTCAGAGCCCAAAAAGAGGGGGTACCGAATGGGCTGAAGAGGGGCGGTTCCACTTGAAAAGGAACAATTGGCCATGTTGGTACTATATAAGAAGCTACTATTGTGGCAGCTTTCTGTGCTTGTGTTTAAAACCAACCAAATCCATCTCCTCCATTGGTCCATTGTATATGCTCAGTCTTGCTGTTCCGATCTTTTTTACACTGCTAGTTCTGGACAAGCATAACAGTTGATCAGGGAGCAGCTATTTTGATTTGCCTTCAAATAGGGATCATTAGGAAAGCAATCAGTATATAAACTGATGTAAACTTATGTACGTTTCAACACTGGTGGGTCTATCTACCTATTCTGGCACAAACCATAATAACCTAATAAGTCCAACTATCATAATCCAGCACCGTGCGTTGAAGCGGATCCATGTCGAACTAAGGCCGATTAAACCGACCTGCTTCGCCGCCGTGACAAAAAACATTACCCATTGCTGCGAACCTCGCACTTTTCTTTGGGGAGAGGGTTCCGATTTCGTCCCATGTAAACTCCGTACGAAGGGAGTGTACTTTGTTAATACGGAACCCCCAACCAATGGTTGTTTGTCTATGTTCCTTCTTCCGGAAGGGGATCTTTTGGGTGTCGCATTAGTTTAGTACAGTCTCCACTTGGACTCCTTGATGTGTGGGTTTTCTTTCTTCCTCTTGCCGCATCCTGAGGGAGCGAAGGCAGCTTAGCCTTCCCCCAATTTGGGTGAAGGAAAATCAACACAGCCAGATGCCTTAAACACAAGCCCATGTTCCACAGGTGAAAAGGGCTCTATTGTAGACATTGTACCAAATCCCAGCCCGCATCCCAACGCGGAAGTAGACCCACTCTTTTTCGATCATCCCTTGGGCTGACCCGGTGCTGCAGTATCATGAACCCAGCGAGTGGGACACATGGATGAATGGTCCTTAAGAGAAAGTGGACTGATTCCGTCCTCAAACAGTTTTTTATCCAAAAGAACAACGCCGCTGAGCACAGAACTTGAAGGGATGGGTCTACCAAAACACATGCGGAACGGGGGACAAACACAACACATCCCACCATGCATAATGGCCACCTACACCCCCGACCGAGTCTGGACACTAGAATGCCAAATGTGTGGTTTCAAGAAAACTTCAATCAGCTCATCTGGTTGGTGGTTTCAACTCGAAAAACATGTTCCTATTAGCGTCCTCTTGCGCCGTTCGTAGTACGCCCAGGAGCCCCGTTCGTAGCGTCCGATCGCTCCGTTCGCTCTCGATGCCAGGAGCCCCTAATAGCGTCCTTGCTACTTGTAGCTTCTTGTGGTTTCAATCATCCGGTTGAACATAGAAATGTCTGAAACCGCCACCCAGTCATGTCACGCTTCAATGTGTTTCTCGCCACCTTTGCAGCGGGTTCATGACACCGCTGACGGTGGTACTTCCGAATGAACCTGGACCTCTGGCTATGGCCATCGGCGATCGTTGAACAAAAGAAAGCCTAACACAGTCGCCAGAAACATCGGGCGCGTGAGTCGTTTCAGGCGATGTCGCCAGAAAGCCTCGGCGCCCTCGTTGCTTCGTATGATCAAAGCCTTGCGAGTCTATGCAGTCTGTGAAGGTGTCTTTGCTCAACGTAGCGGGTCGATTAAACACACCCTTAATATATGCAGTAGTGAAATGTAATACCCAGACGCTCCAAACAGCCCTTGGTCCCTCAAAACCATACAGCAGGACGACAAAGTCATGAAAAAGTCATGCCCGCTTCCTCCTTCCCCATGTAAACGCTGCACTCAAAAAGTCATACCTAAGTCATGCCCGAGTAGTAGGTCCCAATGTAAACGCAACGCAAAACAGAAGAATAAAGTGCAGTCATTAGCAGGAAAATTGCGTTTCCAATGTGTTTACCATGTGTTCAACCGACAGCAAACCTCGCCCGTACCCACTTCCCACACTGTGAACGCCGCGCTCCCAGCAGATTTTTCCTGCGAGAGCTATTTGCTCCACACAGAGCTGGGGTGCGGCACATACCGCAATGAGCGGTTGTGCTTCTGAGTTGCGACCCTGTCTTCTCGCCTCTTCGAGGTACAAAGTAATTTGGGTCCAATCACTGTCTTGTAAAATGTCTCACTGAGCTTCTCGCCTTTGGCGCTCTTCTTTTTCAATTCTTGAATGAAGAAATCTGCCAAAGGTCGAATCTGTGGCCGCTTGTCTTCTTTCCAGATTTGACAAATCCAGTCAGCGCAGTCTTCTTCCCGGTCAAGGTCCCACTCTTGAGGCTGCAGCGTTGCACCAGCAGGTTCGGCCACAACTGACGTCTTTTGTTTCTTGCCTTTGGGCTCCTCCACTTCTGCCACGGGTTCTCCCGATTGCTTGGGAGGAAGCTCCTTCTTTTTCTCATCCGAGGCTGTGGAAGATCTTCTGATTCTTGCCAACAGATCTCCGATGCCTTTTGCCAAGTCCTGCTCAGCTGGTGTTTCTGGCTGCAGTTCCACATAGTCAGCAGGCTTGTGCCACCCTGACCGTCGCCGAGCGTGGAAAAGGTCATATGTCTTTTGATCGAATTTGGAGTTGGGAGTGCCGCAAAGAGAGCAGAAGCGGTCGGCAACTGTGACTTTCTGTTTGCAATCCTCATTGCTGCAGCGCACCTTGGAGGGGCTGACGCTCTGGAGCACCCCAAGGACATTGGAGGTCGCTGTTTGCTGCTGACCAATGTTTCCAGGGCCTGCTTTCTGGGACGAGAAAATCTCTGTGTACCTTTCCTCCAACACAACAGCACGTTGCGCAAGCTCCCCTGCTCTGAAGCCACAGCGGGCCCACCCAGCAGCTGCATTCTGAGCACTGACCGCCTCGGCATGAATCCGCTTGATTGCTGCCAGGCCTTGAAAGATTGTCAAATCCTTCCCGCCCTGAATCCAGTGAGACTTAAAGGCTGCCCATCTGGACGCCATCAAGGCGTGTGGTGTTTGGTCTAAAGGGCATAGTGCCTTTGTCGTATATGAGGGTAAGACATAAATTTGTCCACCTCATACCTTGATGCCAGCAAAATGACGCCCAAGGTGACGTGAGGCAGCGTCCCCCCCCCCCTGTGTCCATCACTAGCAAACATTTATCTTTTTTGTCTGGGTGTCTGGAGCGAAGCGGCTTCAAGCAGCATTCTTCCAGCGTGGATGCAAAGATGGAAGGCGTGATGCTGCCACTTGGGTGGCAATGGAATTTTGCATTGTCCTCAGTTGCGGCAAAGGACCTGGTAAGATCTATCTGCCCCAAATCTGTCTGCGTTTGGCTCCACTGCCTATCTGTTCCCTACAAACCAAAAAAAACACTTTCACCGCTCGAGCTTCCCAAATCTCTTGCATGCTCGGGTGCAAGCTCTTGAAGGGCACAACAACCCCTGGTGGAAAGGGTTCTCCAGCCATCGCCATCCAAGTGCAGACAGTTATATGTTCAAACGTAGTGACAGCAGCGGCAGTTGCTGTTTTGCTACGATCTGCATGTGTAGTGACACGTCTCGTGAGGCTGTCCGAACGAGAACTGAAGCCCTTCTCGTCGCAGATCAGGATACGGTCGGCTGCTGTCTGAAGAATTACACCGTCTTTCATCAGGCCCAGCCTTGTCATCATCTCTTCGAGAACATCGAATGCGTTTGACACAGTATCAGGCTGGCAGGCTGCAATTTCATGAGTCGATTTAGTGCGAACCTTCTCCAGGCCAATCTGGTCAGGCGGGGCCTGGGTCTTAGCAATCCACAGTTTTTAAAGTCCCGCCAAATATGTTTGTATTTGGAGCGCTTCTGGGCCAGAAGTGAGAGCAACTCATCTATGTCCAGATCATCGTCAATCTCGCCGCACCTGGCAGCTTGAGGGAGAAGACTATGGCCAAAAAAACACACACGTCACCCACCGTTAAAAATCGCTGATACTGTACCGCAAAACCCTACCAACATATTGATGATGCAAGGCGCTTCTCCAGCTTCATCAGGGTAATCGCGTCTTCGACCTGTTGGATGGTCAAGGGGCAGCCAGTTCGCTGGCTCCACTTCACAAACAACAGCACATCCTCCAGCTCAGCCTGGGACAAACTTGCGCGAGGTGTCCGACCAACACGAAACTCTGCAGGACATTCCCAAGGTAACTTGGAATCCCCGAACAACTTCTTCAGCTTGCCCAAATAGTGTTTGTTCAAGCGAAGTTCTGGGAGGGCTTGGACAGCTTGCGCTGCCTTCCCAGAGGCTCCGAGATTGATTTTTTTCAATCGAGATTGAAAAATTCAATCGAAGATTGAATTTGGTTAAAAATCAATCGATTTTTCAATCGTGACAGTTTTCTCAAAATCAATCGAAAAATCAATCGAAAAATCAATCGAAAAATCAATCTTTTTTTCAATCGAGAAATTGATGTTTTCAATCATTTTTGACAAATATCATTAAATCACCAGCAACTTTTGGCACTCATGGCTTCCCAGCCATGGCAATCATGGCTTCCCAGCCATCAGGATGCTACAAGTTTCATATGCCATCAGCCAAAGCTGGCTTTCAAATCATGGCTTCCCAGCCATCAGTATAAGCTACAGCACATGTGTTCAAACCATGGCTTTCCAGCCACAAGGCTGCTACAATACAAGTTTTCACACATGTATTTCCCACCTACCAGGATGCTGCAACATTAGTTTTCAATCCATGGCTTCTCAGCCATCAATATGCTACAACACTTGCTTTCAAACCTTTTTCTTTTGGCAGCAACAGGTGTCATGAATCCTCTTCCACCTCCAGCAAGCCTAGCTGCATCATGTGCCAGGCAAAGGCAAACCTACTGACCACTTTCTGTGGTAGCTTCCATGCTTTGGTACCATGCACTGAAGCTGATGCAATTTTGATCATTACACCCATGAAGCTCTCTGGTGCATAGCACCAGCATAGTCTAGGTGCAAGATGCTTGCACTGTGAAGGGTAGTGGGCACACAAATGATGTTTTAGCACAATTGACCACCGACACTGCCCTTGCTCCATGGCATGCTTTGCCAACCACCCATAGTGTGCTAAAAAGGCTTCCACAGCCTTCTGAAATTTGATCTGGTCTGCAGGCTTCCATTTGTAGTCTTCCAGCCTGCTCAGCCTGTACATCTCAGCCAAGTGCTTGCAGGCTGCCAGCCTGTGTTTGCCAGCATTGTCAGCAGCATGCATTTCACATAGCTTCACAGAAACCCTTGACTCTGACAGCTTTTTGGTGCTTGAGAAGAGGGTACTCTGTGTCACCACTTGCAAGATCACTTTGGTGCAACCTCTTGATTCTTCTTGATGCTTCCACTCCCAGTTCATCATACAAGTTTGAAATCAAAGTGTTCATAGAAGCCAGCCTCTTGCCTCTCGATGAACCTGGGAGCTCATCTTCCATGATGCTCCAGATGACATTGCCATAGGTGTGAGAAGCCACACCCAAATCCACCATGTGGAGCATGTCCAGCTTCAGTGTCAGCCATGACACCCCAGGAGCACCATAAATTGGATGTGGGTGAGGGGCTTCTTCTGGGCCCTTGATGGTCTCCTTCCATTTGGCATTGCCCCTCATGTCAGTGAAGGGGTAGTCACCTCCTTCATGCAAGTTGTCAGCAGAGCAATAGACACAGCACTGGTTGGAGGAGGCTGTGGGCCATTTGAACTCTTGGTTGAACCATTCCAAGTCACCTGCTATGACCATCAGGACTCCTCTCCTGACCTTCTTACCGTTAGGCAGCCTGCCTTCAGCCAGGTATTGGAAGCTGTCTTTCAACATGTCCCACCATGGCTGAGTGGTCTTTGCCACCTTGCAACTCTTGGGCACACAGCCCAGCAAAAGCTGGCTAGCCTTGATTGATTTGGAGGTGATGGCACACCTGAGTGAAAGAACCTCCAAGGAGTCAACTTCTGAAAACGGTGCAGCATCTCCATGCAGCAGCCAAGGTATTGGCAAGTCATCATCTCCTCAAACAGGTGCACTGAAGCACATGGCTTCACAGCCACAACAAAGACATGTAGTTGGGTTGGCACACCCAGCCAAACTGAAAACTATTGCCAGTATTGCCAAGAATCTCTCCAGGTCAAGCTTCTGCCAAAACCTTTTCTTGGCCAGAAACTGAAGGTTGCAGTCAAAATCCTGTTGCTTCCAAAACCTCTTCAGTTCTTTGCTTGAGGCTGTCACAGCCTCCAACATGTCGCTTTCTTCCAGGCTGTTGACCCAATCATGGGGCAGAATCAAAGGGAGTTCTTTCTTGGCCATGTGGTCTGTGCCATCTGGAAGCTTCCTTGGCTTGTATTGGAGGGTGCAGTGGATGACACAACACTATTGGAGGGTGCAATGGAAGACACAACACAAATATTTAATGAAAACAGAAACCTTTCTTCCAAGCATCTTCAAAACCAGAGTTGAGACATCCACTGCCTCAGGGGAAACCAAGCCCTTGAAGAAAGTCCTGCAAAGGTCCCTGTAACAGTTCTGTGGGCTTGACCCACAGCCACCTAGCTGAGAGAGCTTTCCCAGGTCCCAGCCCTTTGCTCCAGAGGCTGTGGCAGCTCCTGCCAGCTGTTGCACTTCAATAGCAGAGAGCCCACCCAAAGCAAACTTTTGCAACAATAGCAAGCCCAATGGCGAGTTCTCATCAAAGGGCTCCCCATCATATTTTCTTTTTTTGGTCATGGCTTCTCAGCCTGACAGAGCCCCTGAGCCCCCTGAGCTGCAAAATGAAATTTCATTTTTTCCATGGCTTCCCAGCCATTAACTGCAGAAACCTTCTGCTGAAATCTCATGGCTTACCAGCCATCAGCTCAACTCACAATGGCTTTCAAGTAAGCAGGCACACCAGACCTTTTTTCCACATGGCTTCCATGGTAGTGTGTGGGTCGATCCAGGCATCTCTGCCTTAGCTATCAGAAACATTGCCATTTCCAAAACTTAGCTATTTCCAAAACTTGGCTGAAGAGGTGCTGCCCATCTACCCCTCCTCTGAAGGATTCTGGGCTTTCTTGGCCTTGGTGATCTTCTTTCTGCAGTTGGTCTTGGCCTTCTTTCCAGCCACCATGACTTTGTAGGCATTCAGCAGCACAGCCTTGCAGTCCTCCTTCTTCAGATTTTTCTTGGCAGCCTCCAGCTTCTTCAGGCAGCCTTCCAGTTGAGCCATCACTTCTTTGGCTTCTTTCACTTCAGACTTACTGTCCTTGTCTTTCTTCAAATCCATGACCATCTCGGTCAGCACAGCCTGGTCCTTGGTGAGCTCTGCTTGGAAGCTTACCAGCTTCTTTTTCAGAGTGTCTTTGTCCTCAGCCTTTTGCACTTGGGACATCACTTCCCATTTTTCATTTTTGGCCTTTGTCTTCTTGGTCTTTGCACTCTTGAAGCTGGCATCACTCTCTTCTGAGCTGCTGTCTTCTCCCTTATCGGTTTTCTTCTGCTTCTTGCCCTTGTTCTCTCCAAAGAACTGCTGCAGCTCAGGCTCCATGTTCTCCAGGGCCTTCTTGTTGACTGCCCCAAGTCCTTCAAGCTGGAAATCATCCATGAGCATGGAGTCATGCTTCAGCCAATCCTCTCCTTTGATGGCTTTGCCTTTGGCATGAAGCTGCAACATAGTGCTTTTCTTCTTGTCTGTGATCACCTTCTCATCACTGTCCCAGAACTCCATGAAGCGGCCATCAGTTGGGGAGTGCCTCCACTTGATGGTTCCTGCCTTCAAGCGACTCAAGGCTTCAGCCTTACCATACTTGGTCTTCATCTGCTGCCAGGTCTTGAAGCCTAGCTCCACCCTGTTGGTGGTGGACTGCTCCATGTTCAAGAAGGCCTCCCTGTAGTTATCCTTGAGCTCTCCCTTGTCCAGCACCCAGCTCACCAAAAGTTTCCTCTTCTTGGCAAGGCTGCCAACTCCTTGGGTGTTTGCTTTGTAGACTTTGTCTTCCTGCTCTCCTGCACTCTTCCTTGAATGCTCGAACTTCTTCCAAAGAAGTTGCTGCTCTTCCTCTGGCAAGGCCAGAATTGCATTGGACACCTGTTCAGAGTCCTTCAGGCTGCTTCCCAGCAGCTCTTGGTGAGTCTTCACATTCTCTTGAGTGAGGCCATTCTTTTTCACACCTTTTCCTTTTTTTTGACAGGCAAGGTGGTTGCCTTGGTTGCTGGCTTCTTCATTCTTGGTGCAACACCTCTTATCTCTATTTTTTTGAGCCAAATGCTCCACCAAAGCTTTTCAGACCAGAAAATTGACAAATTCATGAGTATTCATGTGAATTCATGGGATTTCATGGAAATTCATGGATATTCATGGAAGTTCATGGAAGTTCATGGAAATTCATGGAAGTTCATGGAAGTTCATGGAAGTTCATGGAATTTCATGGAAATTCATGAGTATTCATGTGAATATTTGTTCTTTTTTGTGAAGCCTGAAACTTTTCAGAATTATATCTAGGTTTTTTGGCTTCTCAGCCAGACCTTTTTGTTTTCCAACACTTTTTTCTGAATCCCACATGGCTTCCCAGCCAAGAGTTTTGTTGGTGTTGATTGACCTTCTGGCTTCCCAGCCAGCAGTTTGCATGATTTTTTCCAACACCTGGCTTCCCAGCCAGCAGCTATCAAGATGCAAAAGACCTGGCTTCTCAGCCAGCAGCTGCCAAGATGCAAAAGTCTTGGCTTCCCAGCCAGCAGCTATCAAAATGCAAAAGACCTGGCTTCCCAGCCAGCAAACTGCAGTCAAAGCTAGGTGCTGGACGCGCCTTCCTCCAACCTCGAAAACTTGCTAGCAGGCCTTCCCGCTGCTCGCTGTTCATTCTCTGTTGCACCAAATGACGATGCCACAGCCTTTAGTCACATCGAGGCTGATTGGTTGGACGAGGCAGCCGGTTGAGCCAGTGGTACACCACCTTTCTGGGCAACGATGACGGACATCTTTTCAATCTCCGCCTGCACATACTCAGCCAGCTTACTGACTCCTCCAAAAAAATGCATTGTCTTCTCGCAGTTTTTGCTCATGCGCTGACCAAAGGTCCGGAAGGTTGAGGTGAAATTCTTGGCACCACGGACAGCTGCCTTCCAGACACCAGGTTTCGGCGAAGCTGATCAGGTGGTGCTCCGAGCAGCATGGCCATCCCACACTATTCAATTCGTTGAAATGCTCGGTCCTTCGACTTGGGGCTTTGATCTCTCGACCTTTTGAGTGGGCTCAGTCGAAGCCAGCGCGAGTAGTCCTCCTGTGCAACCATCAATGACTCCTCCCACCAGGCCTTTGCCGAGTTGGAGATGTCGGCCAGCCACCAGCGGAAAGGCCATGGTCAGCCAGTCGCCGAAAAAGATCGAAGCTCCTTCTCCATTGGGTGCTGGAAGAAACGGAAGCTCCAAATTCCGACGGGTCTCAGTCGTCAATGCCACGGGAATTCCAGCGCCAATCCCACCAGCCCCTGAAGACAATTTCCCAGTTGCGGTTTCATGTAATCCAGGGGGTCAATCAAGCAGGTCACCAACTCCAGGGTTCACACTTTGACCGTCTAAGGAACCAAAAATACAAACAAAAGCTTTAGCTGATGCCAACCAAAGGCTCTTGCTGTTTGGCTTCTCAGCCATACCTTCTTCTTCATACCTTCTTCTTCAGGGCCACCAGGCTTCTCAGCCTCCAGACCTTGGCTTGCCAAATAAACAAGACATGGCTTCCCAGCCACCAAAAACACAATTGGCTTCCCAGCCAAGCCACAAAAGCTAGACATGGCTTCCCAGCCACCAAAAAGCACTGCAGGTGATAAAACTGACTCAGTGCAGCCTGGTCACTTTGACTTCTTGTAGATGGCATGGTTGTGCGCACTCAGGATCTGCTGGAGCATGCTTGAGATGGCCTGGTTGCCCCTGAAGCTGGAACAGCTTGGGCGCATGCAGCCATAGCAGGTGTTGCACCTGAGGGGGCAACTCTTCCCCACATAGGACCAGATGTGGCACTGGTGGCACTGCTTGAAGTATTTCCAATTCTCTTGAAAGAACTGGTCTGGCAGCCAGCCAGTGCAGATGTCCTCCACCTTTCTCTTGCTGGCAGCAGCCTTCTCCTCATCCTCCACTTTTTTGTCTTCATTTTTTTCTCCTTTTCCTTTCCCTTTTGCCTTGCCCTCAGCTTCTTCCAAGCCTTCTTCCTCATCTTCCATCTCTTCATCTTCATCAGAGAGCAGGCCTTTCAGCCAGGCATTGAAGGGCATGTGCTTTGGCCTGGGGCTCTCCCGGAAGGCTCTCCTCAAGAAGCTCCTGTGGCTTTCTTTGGAGCCAGCCACCAGTCCACTCTTCTCTGCAGCTTTCTCCTTCAAGCTCTCCATGAAGCCTTGGAAGGAGATCTCTGGCATGTTGTCCTGGTGGAAGGCCCTCATCTCATCCCTAAACTGGATGGAGCCCAAGCCACCTTGTGCTGCATGGGCCTTCCCAGGCCTGCTTGGTTGGCTCCACAGGTCATCTGTTGCACCAGCATCCTTCCATTCCTGGCAGGGGCACATATGGCTTCCCAGCCACCAATGCACAAAAACAAGAACATGGCTTCCCAGCCACCAATGCCAAAAAAACAAGAACATGGCTCCCCAGCCACCAATGCCAAAAAAACACAAACATGGCTTCACAGCCACAAAAAAAACATGGCCAGCCAGAAAAAACACATCAAAATCTCCTGCTTGCTGTAGCTTGGAGCAGCCTCATCCTTTGAAGGCTTCCCAGCCTCAGCCTGAGGCTTCTCAGCCTGAGCCTTCTCAGGCTCAGCCTTCTCAGCCTGAGCCTTCTCAGCCTCAGCCTTCTCAGCCTCAGCCTTTGCAGCATCTTTTTCTTTTTTCCCTCCAAGAGCCTTGCAGCCTCAAGCTTCAATTCTTCCTCCTCTTGGAGCCTCTTGGCCAGCTCCTTCTTCCTTGCCTCTTCTTCTGCCAGCCTCTTCTGCACCTTTTCAATTTTTTGCTGCAAGGGATCCCTCTCTATTTGCTTCTGGATTCTCTTGGCTTGTGCAGCTTCCCACACCTCCCCCTTCTCCCTGGCCTTCTCATGAACCAGGAAAGCTTCCTTTCGAGCTTGGGTGAGGTCCTCCATGGCTTCATTTTCATCTTTCTGTGCTTCATCTAGTTCTCCTTGGGCCTGTGCCAGATCAGTGTTGTGTTTTTCCAGCAACACAACATCCAGGACCCTCTCTGCTTCTTCCTTCTCTTTTTCTTTCTTGGCTGCTTCTTCTTCTTCTGGCTTCTTCTTGGGAGGGGGGGGTGGGGGGGCTTCTTCTTCTGCAGCCTTTCCCTGTCCTTCTTCTTCCTTTTTCTTTGCTGCTTCTTCAGCCTTCTCAGGCTCCTTGCCTTTTGAGCTGGAACCTTTTCCTTGTCCACCTTTGCCAGCTTCTTCTTGGCCTTGGCCTGCTCCAGACCTGCTTGGCCACCAGGTTTGCCACATGGCTTCTGTTCCTTCTGAGCAAGACTCCCAGTCTTCACCACTCATCTTGCTGGTTTGGGCCAAGGCAACATGCAACAGGTTATTCCTGTGCACAACAATGGCTTCACAGCCATCCAAATGAAAAAATAAAGCAACATGGCTTCCCAGCCATCAAAAAGTCTGTACATGGCTTCACAGCCATCAAACATTGCAAAAAGGCAAGCATGGCTTCCCAGCCACCAAACTTCAATCACAGCTAAACATGGCTTCTCAGCCACCAACATGCAAGGCATGGCTTCTCAGCCAGCAAGGCATGCAGCAAACCAGCAATAACTTTTTCCCCACCAAAACTTGCTTCACAGACTCCAGTCTGTATGCCCTCATGCCGACAGATGCTCTTTGCACAACAAGACTTCTTCTAGAGTTTTGCCTTTGGCAAACATGCTCATCAACTTTTCAGCCCCAGCCTGGTTCTTCTTGAAGCTTCCCAGCTTGCTCACCACCACCAGTTGTGGGCCACCTCTCAGTCTGATTGCCATGTGGCCTTTCTTCTTGTATGGCATAAACATCAGGGAGTTCCTCTGGTAGGTGGACTTTGGGTTTTTGTTTGCCTGCTTCTTCTTTGTCTTGTCCATCTTGCCACTTGGCTTCTTCATGAGTTTCTGCTCCTTTTTGCTGTTTGGTCCCTTCACCTTGCCCTTGTTTGGCTTCTTCTGCCTTTTCTCATCTTTCAGGTGTTCCTTGAGGACCTTTTTCCTGGCAGGCACAGGGCTGGTGTCCAGTGCCCTTTTCAACAGATCTTCTTCATTTTCTTCAGACATGCCAGGTGTGCCAGGCATCTCCATGTCAAGCAGCTCCTGGGTCAAAACCTCTTCATCAGTCTTGTCATCAGCTGGTGTGGCTTCGCCAGCCACCAAGCTTCTCAGCTTCTCCAGCTCTTGGACTTGGTAATCACTTAGGCCCTTGCAGGCTTCTTGGAATTTCTTCACATCTTTGAGCCTCCTGACATGGTTCAGGATGACCATGGTGGCATTGGCCAACTTCACCACCAAGTTGCTCCTGATCTCCAAGTCGAAGTTTTCCCTCAAACTTGGGAAAGTTCTGGCCACCTCAGTGAAACCATCCTTCAAGTCTTTGAACTTGAACTGCAAATCTTCATTGACCTGGCTCAAGCCACCATACAAGCCTTTCTGCTCCAAAACAAGATCTGATTGAAAGTGGCTTCTCAGCCAGCTACATTATATAGGCTACTGTGGCTTCTCAGCCACCATACAAGCTGCCTGAAAAATCAATCGAAAAATCAATCTTTTTTTCAATCGAAAATTCAATATTTTTGTAGTTTTGTGTTCAAGAAAAAACCTGAAAAAGATTGATTTTTTTCATTTTCAATCGAAGATTGAATTTGGTCAAAAATCAATCATCTATTGAATTTTTTCAATCGAGGAGCCTCTGGGTTGCGAAAAGGCGGATCGCCTGAGGACATGAAGAGGAAGATCAAGGCATACATTTCCCATCTCTTTTGGTCATGCGCCACTGGGTTTGCAGCATACTCCTGGAAATCCTTTGTCAAAGCACAAATCGTGTATCCCGAAGGGAGATGCACCACAGAGCGTCCATCGTCTTGCACCTGCCGCCACGCAACAAGGCCCTGTTTAGAACCTGCAGCCTTTGCGTTTGTCTGCTTTGGAGCAAACACTGGTTGTTCTGGAAACAATTTGGCTTCTATCTCTTTCCGAAAACGCTCTTTGTGCTTCTGATCGAATCCGCTCCACTGCTCATGGTAGAACTTCTGCTTTTTCTTCTCACTGCCGTGCCGAAATGCCTGTATGCGGGCATACCACGACATCTCACTTTCCCGCTTGCGCTTGGCCCAGCCAAGCTCAGGGCACGCAACTTCTGTCAAAAGTTCTTTCTCACTGGCAGGTGTGTCTTTTTCAAAGGCGGGCGGCGGAGTCTTGGTCTCCGCAAATTTGGCGTCGTCAGCCTGGGGGTCCATTTGCTCAGCCGTCAGGGCGTCTTCGACTGCGCTTTGCTGTTCGTAGCACTCGAAACAACATTTAGGCACAGGTGACTTGTTGTCACTCGAGATCTCCACCGCACACAAAACGCAAAGCGACTCTCCGACAACTCGCGATGGGCATGCATTCAAAGCTTTCTCAGCCGCGAAGCAAGCGCAGCAGTAGGTAGGTAGAGCTGACCGGTTCTGGCCAGAAATCTCCTTCTTGCAATCTACCTTAGGGTTTCTGCTGATGAGGAAGGCAAAGAAACGGTTTGATCTTCTGGGTCCATGTCATGCCTAGGCACGCATGTCTTGGGTCGCTCATGTGACTCAGCTGCCGCAGCTAATCTCTGAAGAAGCTCGAGAGGCGGTGGAGTAGATGGAGGTGGTAAAGGAGGATCGCCAATGACAGCGGATGCGTCCACAGGCGCAGCAGATTCTGAAGCTCCAGACGAAGCGCCACTAGCAGGTGCTTGGCCTGCAGCTGCTAGAGAAGCCCTTTGAAAACAAAATTCCAGGTAATACAGCTTTTTGGTTGGAAAAAGTGGGAGCGGGAACGAGGTCCCACCGAGGTCGAAACGAGGTCCGAACGAGGTCCGACTTTCCTCTAGGTGAGGCACTGCCCATCCATGTTACAACATCAACAGTAGTAGTAGTAGTAGTAGTAGTAGTAGTAGTAGTAGTAGTAGTAG